ATGTCTGCGCAAGCGATCAAGGACGTCGCGGAGGTGTCTGAGGTGCTCCTCAAGGGTACGACTATAGACCAGGATATCGTCGAGGTAGACGAGAACGTACTGCTCCAGGATGTCCTTGAAGATGTCGTTCATCGCCCTCTGGAAGGTAGCGGGTGCGTTGGTGAGGCCGAATGGCATCACCGTGAACTCATAGTGGCCGAATCGTGATCGGAACGCTGTCTTCGGCTGGTCGGTTGCTGCGACGCGGATCTGATGGTAACCACTACGAAGATCAATCTTCGTAAAGAAGCGGTTGCCTGCTAGGCGGTCGAACAGCTCATCGGAACGAGGCATGGGGTAACTGTTCTAAACCGTGTAGCGGTTAAGGCCGCGGTAGTCGATGCAGAGACGAAGAGTTCCATCCGCTTTGCGAGCAAAGAGGACGGGTGCACCCCACGGGGAGTTGCTGGGTTTAATGAAACCCAGTCTCAGGAGCTCCTCAAGCTGACGCTTGAGTTCGGTAGCCTCGGGGATCGAGAGTCTGTAGGGTGCCTGGTGGTGAACACGATATTCAGGCACGAGCTGAATGGAGTGCTCGACGTCACGCATCGGTGGGATGCCGGCGTACGAGAACGACGATGGGAAAACGTCGTGGTACTCTCGGATGAGGTCACGAACTGCGGGCTCCAACTCAGCCGTATATCTTGCGAGTTCCTCAGCGTGAGCGTCAGCGCGCGACGGCGGGCTGGACTCGACGGACGGCGGAGGGACGGAAGTAGAGATGGGAGCCATGGAGATAGAGGGGGGGTTCTGGTCCAGAGGGATGAGCTCGGCGTCGGGACAGGGTGGATCATAGTGTAAGAGATCCGTCAAGTCCACCATAAAGAAGGTGACGTCGTCCTGTCGAATGAAGTGAGCGAACTGCCGAGGCGAGGTGACAGTGATAGAGGGAGATGGTGTGGGCACTGAAGGCTCCGGGGGAGGAGGATCGGGGCGTGGCGTCGTCGTGGTACCTATGAAAGGTACCGGATACGTCTGTCCACACTTCGTTTTGAGAACGAGAGTGTTGGTCGCCCAATCGGCCTCGGTGCTGCGGAATCGACGAGACCACGGAGTGCCGAGAATGAAGTCGTACCCCATTTCCATCACATCGAAATGTGCAGAGGAGCGGTGGCGACGAGACGTCGGGGAACGCTCAGTCGGCTCGAGAGTGAGGAAGAAGGGGAGGTCGGTGACCGTCTGATCGAAGAAGCGCTCGGTCTTGTCATCCCCTAGGGTAACGGAGATGAGAGTCGGAGACCATGTCGTGGGTAAGCGGGCTTCCTTCACCAAGCGTGGGTGAATGAAGTCGCCTTCAGAACCGGAATCCAACAGCGCTGAGTACACCCTCGTGGAGGTCCCGAGTCGTACGGGGATGATCGAGAGGGTGCGATCAGGGTCATAGAGAATGGCGAGAAGGCGACGCAGTGCAGCGACATGGAGGGTGAGTCGCTCCTGACGAGCCTGAAGCATGCTCAAGTCCAGAAGAGAGGACACAACGTCCTCGCGAGAAGCAAGCTGCTCGCTGCAACGGGCGGAGTGAATGGCTCGACGCGTCGGTAGTCGCGGCGGGGAAGGAGGGGAGTCGGTGGTCTGCGGAGGCGCAGACGGTACTGCRACAGAGGGCGGAGTACACTCTAACGAGTCCTGCGATACCTCAAGTCTAGTAGCGAGAGGGGCGAACTGCGACGGAGATGTCGGGAAGCCCACTACTGAGGAGGGCGCAGGTGTACACTGCACCGTGGCTAGGAGGCGCCGCGGGGACGTGAGGCGCCGAGGGGGGACTGAGCACGACGCTGACGAGAAAGGTCAGCGTAGTGGCGGTCGAGGGCGTTAGTGTAAGGGCACCGCGAGGAGGTATGACCGTCCAAGCGGCAGCGCAAACACCCACGCCGTCCCAGAATAGTCGCGCGCTCCTCAGGGGAAAGGACACCACGAGGAGGGACGAAGCCCTGAGGAAGGTCCTCCTGAGGGACCTCGGGGGGCGATGCGCCAGTGCGACCGGGGCGGCTGCGTGCCCGAGAGAGGGCAGAGAGCGCGAGATGAAGGCGCTCAGCTGCAGGGAGGGTAGAGTCCTCCAAGTGATAGTGGACGGCCTCGCAGAGATCGAGGTCGTCGCTGTGGTCGCCCTCTGATGACAGTGGGGCAACAGCGTCCTGCTCACCATACTCCAGCGTGCTGAAGCGGCGCGAGAAGTGGCGGCCCTGCTGCGTGGAACGGCGGGGGCGACCGCGGAAAGGGGAACGGCGCTGGGAAGTGCCGTGAGAGGAGGACGAGGCGTCGCCCGTGCGCTTGGGCTGGGAGGAGGAGGCGGGGTGAAGACGAGCTCGCATCGGCTGGTGGTCCCTAGCGGCCTCGTAAGCCTGTGGGGCCGATGTGAACTCGTACCGCCATAGCTCGGAGCGGTACTCGAGCGGAAGGCTAGCCAAGAAACGATCGATAAGGGCAGCCTCAGGGAGGAACGCCACGTCGCAAACGAGGCGGGCGTCCTGAAAAACCGGGATGTGGCGATCCAGGCCGGCAGCGCCACCAGAGCCGGACCAGCGTGTAGTGACGACACGCTCGAAGGCGTCAGTCATGTCGTATCGGGCTCCG